CCGCGGCTTTGCTCAGCGTCTCCCTGGTCTACAGACCAGCTGGAAGCGCCGCGGGTCCGGCCCGGGTCCTCCGCTGCTTTGCTCAGAGTCTCCCTGGTCTGCTGGCTCCCCCAGCCGACCAGGGAGACGGGGAGCAGCTTTTCTCGCCCCGGAGGAGGCGGGCGGCAGGACCAGGCGTCCCGCTGCTCCTGTCCTCCGGGGCGAGAAACTCGGGGACTGCCTGTAATCCCAAATCCTTTCTTCACTGAACTACTGTTTTCCGTATCCATTATTCCTTATTTTAAAAAAGTAAGTAAAACAGCTAAATAGTACTTGTTTCTCTGTATAGAGAGGGAGACTGGCTAAAACAGTGATTTACTGGAGCGCATCAATTTCTTGCTGCCTAAAATAATGTCATCCAAAGGTACCTTTTATTAAATTTAGTGAAAGTGAAGCAAGCAGCAGTGACTAAAATTATAAAAATAAGCACCAGTGCAGTGCTGTTTGCTGAGTTGATTTAGGGATATAGGCTGATGACAGCTCTTCCACCCCCTCACCCAGTGACTCTGTCACCACTAACCCTGCCACTATTTTTAGCCCAGCATTTTATTTCCAGTGGACATCTCCTTAGTCTCCCCTCAGTTCTACAGCTGCAAGTGGCTGCGGCGTTAAAAGGTTTCCTTTTCCCTATATCCTGACAGCTGAGAATCGGGGAAAACCCCGAAACAAAACCCTGCTTCACCTGAGCCATTCCCCCAGGAGCGGGTAAAATTCCTGACAGCGCAGGCTCCTTTCACACGGCTGTGCGCGAGGAAACATGGATTGCGGGACAAGTCTCGCTTCATTTCTCCCCCTCAGACCAGGCGCAGCTCATTCGTGCGGTAACCCAGTCCAGTCACACTGCCCGCTCAGGCCTGTACGGTTCCGGCTGGCGGCCCCCACGGCTGAGGCTGCTGTCGGACCCAGCGCTGCTGTGGTCTAGTCCTGCGCGCGCGCCGCTCGGTAGCTGGGAGGCTGCCCCGGCCAGAGGACACAAATGAGAGGAGCCCTGACTCACCCCAACCAGGCGTCTCGCTTCCTCCGGGCCCGGCCCTGCGGCAGGCAGTGCCCTAGTCCCCGCAGCCTGCAGCACTGGGGGCTCGTTTCAGGGTTTGCGTTCAGGGGGCGGCCTGCGACAGACTCAGGCTGGTGCCGTGCACTGTTTCTGCGGGCACGGCAAAGCCCGGGGGCGACAGGGAGTCCGCTGAGCGCGGGAGCAGCCCAGCCGGGGCTGGCGGCGGCCGAGGGCAGGGCCAGCGGACCGGGGACGAGGAGAGGAGACGAGGGAGCCGTAGGAGGGGACAGAGGAGCAGACACAGTTTGGGCGGGGAGCAGGAACGACCCTGCGCCATGCGCCCCCGGTGCGCGGAGCGCGAGCCGCGCCCACCCCTGCGCAGGTTTCCCCGCGGAGCTTTACGCGCCGAGGAGTGTCTCTTGCCTGGGTGTCCTGCCCGCGGCTCCGGCTCGCGCTAATCCCGGCGGGGCGGGGGGAGGGCTGCCTGGCTGGCGAGCGGCGGCTGCTGCTGCCGAGCGCCCCTTGGCTGCCGCCGCTGCCTCCGGCTCTGCAAGTTTCCATAAAAGTCCTGGTGCGCAGCCCGCGCCCGCATTCCAGGCGCGCCGGCTCGGCTGCAGCTGTCCCGACCCCGACCCACTGGGGCAGAGCCCAGCCCCGGCCGCGCTGCAGGGGGCCCGCCAAGGCGCCTGGGCTATTTTGGGCTGGAAGCGCCACCGGGTATAAATAACCTGGGGCTCTCGGGAGCAAAGCGTTCCCGGACCCGCCCAGGTGGCCTCCCAGCCGTGCTTACTCCAAAGGGGCAGACAAGGTGTCCCAGGCAGTCTGGCCGCGGATGGGACGGGCACAGGGGCAGGGCAGCGCATCAGAGCTGCCGTGAATGAATGTCACGTGCCAGGCTGGCCACAGAGGCGGCCGTGGCAGCTATAGAGCCCCCCCCCCCGCGCTTGGCTAGCAATCAGAAAATACTCACCCCCAGGAGCAAGCCTTCCCACGGGCTTCTTCCCTCACAAAGTTCTGCAAAGGCAGGAGCAACTATGCTCTGGGCCTCAGCCCCTAAAGCCCTAGGGCATTTTATAGCACCCAACTCTATGAAAGCAGCTAATAATAATGTGTGACGGTTAACTATGGTGGAGTGAGGAAGAGTCTAGCTAGTGCCAGATCTAGAAACTACATTAGCTACCATGAGCCTATAAATTACTGTGAAACAACCTTTTAGGGAGCATATGGTGCCTTTCTGCTTTCTTCTTAAAATTAAGAACTTTTCTATTGTAGATATACAAAAAGGACTGTAAAACTTGAATTTTAAATATAACTTCACCCCCTTTAAACACTACTGTATTTTTCTTCCTTTGATTATAATCTCTGTAAGGCAAGAGGGACTGTCTTCCTTGTTATTTGTTGTACTGTACTCAGCACAGTGGGGCCCCAACATTAACTTGGCTGCATTCAGCTTGGAATCATAAGTGATATTACAGCAGGCAGTCTGAACATCAGTCAGAGTAGAAATAAGGCATAACACAAAGTAATTAACTGTAGAACAATTTACCAATGGTTGTGGTGGATTCTCCATCAATTACAATTTTAAATGAAGACCAGATACATTTCAAGAAGATCTGATCACCTCTAGGAATTATTTTGAGGCAGTTCTTGTGCTATATATAGTAGGTCAGTGTGACTGATCACAGTGATCCCTTCTGGGCTGTACTCTGGAAATCAGGTTCAAAGTAGTATTGACAACTTACAAAAAAAGCAAGAGGGGAGACCATTCTTTAGCCTTTCTTCTTTACCCTATGGAGCTAGTAAAAAAATCTTTGGGCAAAAATGAGCAGATGATTGAACATAAGAGTTCTCTTTTTTATGAGAATTGTGAAGACAGGGTTAAAACAAAATGCCCTGTGACCTAGTGCTACATAGAGCACACTGTGCATGGCTATAAGAATTAGTTGGAAAAGTACTATCTAGTTAGGTTGCTAAAATGATGTTGTTTTCCCCACAAGGCTTAAGTACCCATCTCTGAGGAATCTGAGAACTTTAATTTGTATAAGGGAAGAACATAGTGTGTATGGTAACTACAATTTTATTTATAATTTATTCATGTGCTACCATGATTTAGTGAGAAAAACTGCTCTCCTCTTGGCTGTTTCTGTTCTCTTACTTTGCACGTTCTCTGTACTCTTTTGGCTTTTCTTCTACATCAACTTGCAATTCTCATCCCTTGAATGCATTACTTTAATCCTTTTTGCATTACCTGTTGAGCAGGCACACCAATAACATTAGCAGAAGAAAGAAACATTCACACCTACTAGTTACTATTTTAGACCCTCACAGACCCTGTGATATTGGCTTACACTTGGTGGTAGTGCATCCTCACCTCCGAGGTGCCCTCTCATCTTTGGCTGCACAGGAGCCTTTTCTCAAATGCTGCCTTACTAGGCTCTTCCTTGGATGTGTAGTGGACTCTCCCAACCTGCTTCTTCCTCTAAATCCCCCTCTGAAGGGTTTAATGACTTGGCTTTTCTGCCATGTCACATAAAAGTCTAAATGCCTGCTAGGGTAGCACGAAAGTCAAAAGCAGCATCCAAACCTATATCCTTACATCCCGCTAAAGCTTCATGCTAGTTATCTCATTGACTCTACTTCAGAGATTCCTCTGCAAGAAGCATACGTACACCTATAATAAGGTTCTTTTTCCATAGTTTCCTAACTGTTAAACACTATTCCATGGATTCTCTCTGCCAGAGATCTGTCTCCTCTACAGATAGTCTCCAACTGAGCTTCTTTTGCCTCCTGGAGCTATTAATTAGCCTCTCTCCCCCATGCAAAGCATGGCTTTTTGGGGTTCTTTTGCCCGGCAGATGGTGGGAGTTAAGCCCCATGATGCTACAAGGTTGATGAGCAGGGCTTGTCAGGCCATACATTCATGACATGGTCTAGTTTCTGCCTCTGGCCTATGTTTGATTTCCTAGGCTTAGAGGATTTTTTTCACCTATGTTTTTGTTGATACAAAAAGAGTAATAAGTTTTAAAGTACAGGACTAAATATCAATTTTCTGTTAGGCTTTTTCTAGATCATCTTACTATGCTGAAAATCATGTTTAGAGATTGTTTAATGTGGAGGTTTAAGCAAAAAAAGTTAATATTTTTAATTTAAACTAATGCACTTAAATGAAACAATGTGTTCTACGCAGTTCCTGCTCCCCTATCTTTTCTTTTCAATATTTAAATTAGAAGAAAGTCCCAATACCAAAGTCTGATTGGTGCTAAAGCTGACTGCACATAAAATATAGATACACACACACACACACACACACACACACACACACACGAGAAAAACCTAATTAAAAGGCCCGGAGTAGAAATGCATCAGGTCGGTCCAACTACATATAACGAATGAGCTTTAGAGTAAACACATAGTAATTAAGTTGAATTGTAGATGCTAGTTTTCCAATTTGCAGAATACCGGTAGAGGTTCCCTGTTCTTTACCGTAAAGAAAATATCACTCATAACTTAAAATAATTATATTCTTTACACTTGAGTACTTTCCCTTTAAAAGTCTTTAGCTTGTATTTCTAAAGTTTTTGAGAAAATATGAGATGGTTGTATAAACAGAAAAGAGACTGCAGAAGTAATGTTTCATTTTATATATGCAAATTCATTGTACAACTCAAAATGAGTTATTTTTCTTCTACATTTTAATTTCATTAAATTGTGACATTTGATATACACAGCTGCAGTTCACTTAGTTCACAAGTATGACAAGTATGCTGACCTGTATCAACTCAAGTTGACTAATCTTCAGTTTGCTAAAAATCAATGACTACATGAGTGAAGTAGAATAATCAACAACATTAAAAGTGAGATTACAACTAAAACACAGCTAGTACCTTAATCCTTGTACCATTTAATGATTGGCCTTAGAAATACTATTTGGCTTTCGAATGCAACTTTATCTTACTTTTGAATGTAACTTTCAATGCAGTAGCACAATAAATCTAGTTTTGATATTTCATTATGAAATTCTACATATAAGCCACTGTAATGCAGTAGGAGACATACCATAAATGCTGACACGTAACTTTAGCATTCCCGCTTCCATGCAAGTAGAAGAACTTCAGTTGTATGTGGCTTGTTAGCAACAGATCTTCAAGTATGATCTTCTCAAGAACCATGAAAATAAATGAATTTGTGCTAGAAATATCCAGATGCAATATGAACTAAAAAGAAAAAAAAATTACAATCCAGAATAACTGCATTCATGAACTTTCTTTTCTTCTCCAAATTTGTATCCATTTTCACCAGCACAGTTTATTGGACGTTCACATGACAAGAAGTCTTACTTGCTACATTCTATCTGAAGCACAATGTGGTGACCATCTTGCTGAAAAATAAGGTAGTGGCTACATCAGAATAGGAAACACATGCACCTAATTTACAGCCTAATTCAAATTCTGTGGGATGTTGATTACCAACAGCTTCTATAAGGCCTGGTTTAAAAGGAATCCATCAGATTAAAAAAATCAACACATTAAATTATTGTCTATGTTTTACTCCACTTTACACTTGAAAGAGAAGGTGGGTGCAGTAATAGTTTTTATTGGACAAACTTCTGCTGATTAAATATACATGCTCTTGAGCACTATGGAACCCATGTCTTCTTCAACTCTCTAGTGCGCAAAAGCTTGCCTCATCTCACTCATCTTCTGTCTCTGATATCCTGAGACCAACATGGCTATCACACTGCAAATTAAAAGTTTAATTAATTTTACTTTATTCTGCATTTTCGAAACACAAATGGCAGTTTTCTCATGTAGGGTATAAAATAGGACTATTCAGCTTCCTGTCAATGCCACATTTATATTATTCACTAGCACAACAGAATAACATTGGGTTGTACTTCCCATAGGGGAATGTTTGTTATTAGAGTGGGAAAAACTGGGCCCACTAGCATTTAAAAGAAGACACTTCTAATGAATTTTGTGTAAAAAAACCCTAATTTGCACATCCGCATGAGCAGTGTTCTAAACATCCTAGGCAGAATGGAGAGAGGAGAATGAATAGAGCTTCATTTTACATATCATTCCAGCTGGTGTAAATCATGCTGTTTCCTTAATGTTTTCATCCCAGTAGCATCAGTTTTATATATCATAAAAAATTGTTAAAGTGAATTTCTGGAAGAATTTGCTTAGAAAAATGAATATTTTTCTTTTGAACTAATCAGGAAAAGTGAAAG